GAAGTCATTTTCCGTCAAAATGTTTAAACATACAATTATACTCATTTTTTCAGAAAATAAACTAAACACACCAAGCTTTCCAAAATGCAACCAAACACTGGAAATGAAAATGTTTTCTGGAAAATGACTCATTTTCCAGAAAACATTTTCTAGAAGTCATTTTCCTGCTTTCCAAACGGACCCTAAGGTAAGGAACAAAATGCATACTTTTTATTTAACGCCAACACTTTTTTTGTTTTTTGTTTTTTGTTTTTTTTTTTTTTTTTTTGAAAACTAACGCCAACACTAATTGACTATATTATACATATTTTTTTATAGGGAAAATCAACGATTTGATCCATCAATTGTTGGCGAACTGTCAATGTAGTGTCTTAATTCCATATTCATTAATTTGATCCTCGAAATAAATTAATTTTTGTCGAATAAGTCCTTCTAGTCATGTTCCGTCGTTCAGCCGGTGAGGACTCCGATTGAGCAGGGCATTTTGATCTTTTCTTGTCTTCAGCCCTCTTCTTACCTAACCATTGACGGTGTGATCTTTGCGCTTCTCTGTCGGACATGCTTCTCCTCCGGCCTCTGTCCTGTCTCTACGAAGACTCCCAGGGGACGGTTCCGGTCACTTCTACCGGTCGCAACTTGGTTTTCTGCGTAAGGGAAGTCGGATGGTCGCGGCTCTTTTCTTGTTTTCCAGTGAGCTTTGTCTAGGGCGGTGACGGTATTGTAAGCTTGCGGTGGTTGTCCGACAGGCCTGAGACGTTAATGACTGTTGTTGGATTCTGACGACGATACCTTCATCGAATAGAGTTTGTTTGAAACCACCCCTGACTGATATTGGGTTGTGGTGTTAGTTGCGATTTCCGGGAGACCGATAGTCTCGACTTAGAGCTACGTGACTTAGGGTTCCGACGCGAGTTAGGAAAGTTCTCAGTTCTCATCTTATATTATTTTTCTCCAGTTTCACCTGTGGGCATCGAAGCAGTGTTTTAACCGAACAACTCGACTGTGTAGACCGGCCTGTTAGGATCGATACGATTCACAACACCAAAATACAGCATCAACTTGGACCGGAAATAATGAGAATATTTCTAGTGTAAGATTTAAAATAAATCATACACCCAATAAAGGCAATTTGAAGAAAAAGTGTGAGTTCTCAGTTCTCATCTTATATAGTTTGAAGTGTGAAAATAGAGGTTTCACACTTGAGTAATTAGCATAAGGATAGTGAAAGGAGTGTGATTTGTGAAAGCACTTTGTTAAAGGAAGTAGATGAAACTGATACGCCATTGATTGGTGATGATCAATGCAGCAAGAATAATGTATATTACCTTATATATGTAATTAGGAGAATAATTAGTCATTTCATTATTATAATTACATTATTTTAGGAAGTGAGATGATATATATAGGGTATTGTATGTAATGTTAAAGGCATGCAAAAATCATTTATATTGAAGAGTTCTTCATTTTCTTTCGTTATATTATTTTTCTTTTGGAGTTACAGTAACTCGAATATGGATTGGAGCCAGAAGCCTGCTCAAAAGGTTTCTTCAGTTGCGTACTCAATTTCAGTACGTAACAGAAACCCTGATGGAGCACTTATCCAATGACAAGATATTTCCTTCTTGTAATATGGAAGTTTTTCATCTCCAATGGCATTCAAGAGATTTTCATGTCGAGCTTCTCTCAAACACAAATCACGCAACAAGTCATGTATTCTTACTGTCTTCATTTTCCCATTGTAGCTCCGTTTGCTAACAAAAACAAGACTTCTATCAACAAGATCTTGCAAGCATTCCATGGCCACTTCCTCCATATTATGATGGTTCTCTGCCCTAAAAAATCCCTCTGCCTCCCACAACCTAACCAACTTCTTCACATGGATCTCATAGTCTTCGGGGAAAACTCCAAAATATAGAAAACAAGCTTTTAAGGGGTGTGATAATTGGTTGTAACTCAAATATAGTATTTTTGAACATGCATCATTAGAATCACCAATTACATATCTACTCACTTTTTCTGCAACATTATTCCACTTCTCCATTGCCGCCTCTGTCTTGGAGAGAAGACTAGCTATTACAATAATAGCTAGAGGTAATCCATTACATTTCTTCACTATATTTCTACCAATTTTCTCAAACACTGAAAGAAATTTTGTTTGACCAAACACATTGCAGAAGAGATTCCAACTTTTATTGGCATCTAAGAAAGGCATGTTAATGGTAGAGTTACTTGAACTTGCATATTCAGCCACCCCTCTGAACCGATAAGTCAATATATAGTATACGACTTCCATTATTATCATTTGGAAAGCATCTTTGCACACTATCCCAAGCAGTAGAGCTCCATACATCATCCATCACTATCAAATATCTTTGTTCCTTCAAGTGTTTACGCAGACTTTCTACTAAGTTGTCATTTCTTTGTTCATGGAGTACATCATTTGATGCTGCATTAACACAACCAATAAGGCTTTGGAGCATTTATTCCACGTTGTACACTTGAGATACAGTAGCCCATGTTTGCTTGTCAAAATAAGAAATAATTGATGAATCTCCATAAAGTTTTTGAGCTAAAGTGGTCTTGCCTATTCCTCCCATGCCAACGATTGATACAACTTGGAGCTGCTTAGTTGATGTCCCGCATCCTCGAATTTGTACAATGATTTTGTTTTGGTTGACTGAATGCATTTGAACTGATGAAAGTAGAGTTTTTATTTGTTCTGGTACGCGTCACTCTACAATCGTTATACCCTACACCACGGCGCGCGTAGCACTGTGCGCCGCACCTCCCAAAACGACGTCGTTTTGGGATCGTTTTGGGAGGCGCGGTAGGAAGTTGCTGTGATTATGTATATTTGTTCACACAATTATGTATATTTGTTTATACAGTTATGTACATTTTTTATAGAATTATGTACATTCTTTTTATACAATTATGTACATCCGAATCAGAAAATTTGTGTGTATTATGTTAAAAGTTGATGTGTATTATGTTAAAAGTTTATGTTTATTATGTATTATGTTAGATTATGTGTATTATCTTTTAAAAAGAGTATGTATATTTTGTTATATAATTATGTACATTCATGTATACAATTATGTGTATTCTAGTATAACATTATGTACATTTTTGAACAGGGGTTTTTTTTTAAAGAAAAAATAACTGCAATACACTGGGGCGGGAAATTTCAAAAAAAAAAAATTTTAAAACGACGTCGTTTTGCATCTGGGCGCACAGTGCAACGCACGTCGTGATGTAGGATATAGATTGCCCGTCACTCTATGCTGCAAAACTTATTCAGAAGCTCCGAGGTGATGGGATTTATATGAGGCCTCTGGGCAATGTGATATACATTATGTGTGTAGCAACATATTGGAAAACATATACACAAGGCTCAAAGACTCGTGAAGCCAAGACTGAATCCCTTGCTCAAACAAATTTAGTTTGAAATTAAAGTGAATCCTTCATTTTAGTGTTGAATGTTGATAGTACATACTAGGTAGTGGGTAATAGGTTTGGCTTAGTAAAATCATTGTTTGGATCAATGTAAACAGATCTAGATGGAATAAGTTTGTGTTGAACATTTAACTATGTAGCCTAGTTTTTTATCGTTAAATTGGATGTTGATTTATTCTCTTTGATGTTGTTGAATGCTAGATAATTGTCATTGTGTTTAACCTTGGCCAAGTTGAATACATGCTATGGATGAATTAATTCTGATGGAGGTCCATGGTCTTTGGTTGTAATTTTAAATTTAGTCTTATATTATTGTTTTTGTCATTTAACACTCTAAACTATCATATTTTGATTCTTTTGAGGAAACTCTATTTTACGTAAGAGTATTTTTGTCTCTTCAAATTATTATTATTATTTTTTTTTCAAAGATTTAATTCCAGTGAAGGTTCTTTGTCTTTGGTAACAATTTTAAATTTATTCCCCAGACAATTGATTTTGTCATTTAACACCATAGATTATCATATTTTGGACAATTTTAATCCTTTCGATAAAACCCAATTTTAAGAAAGGGTATTTTTCGATGACAAAAAGGAGTTTTTTTTTTTGTTTGTTCTACAACTATATATAGTAGATGATTCACATAATCATGAACTAAAATAATAGCGTTAAACCGAAGTCAACTGGGTGACAATTACGTTGCACCCGGAGGTCCTCATGTATTCAGTAGCACCATTAACGAAGGACGATTTGGGGAAAGAGATGAAGATGAGCCTGGTGACGGAAATGGCGCAGTCCAGGACTAAGGAAACGAAAATTAAAAAAATCCTTGAAAACAAATTAAAGAGATGGTTTTTTTTTTTTTTTTAATTTTTGCCAAGCACCTTGTGCTCAGATGACATGTAGTGACATCTCCCATGTGGGAGGGACTCTTTGTGCTTCATTAGGTTGAGAAAGTATGTTTGAACAGATACACGATAGATTGTATGGGTCTAGATATTTTGTTTTTTTGTTTTGTTTTTTTGTTTTGTTTTTTTTTTTTGTTTTGTTTTTGTTTTTGTTTTTTTTTTTTTTTGTTTTTTTTGTATTTTTAAAATCTTTATTTCATTAAAGGGTCATACATAATCAATCATCAATATTAGTGATCATTCCAATTCCTTCATATTACCAAATATTTGATTCACATTCCAATTCTAATTTTCATGTGTGAACCAAACACACCCTTAAATTTCCATCTCTCGTCACGTGATTAAGGCAGCGGAAGATAGAAAACTCCTATCTACTAATTAATCCACGCCGTGCACTCTCTGCTTTTAGATGGAGAAATGAGTTGAGATGAGATGAAGAAAACACCAACTTTAATTTATACCACAATTATATATATTGAACCACAAACCATAATATATACTTTATGATACAACACACTACTATACGTATTCACCCAAATTCATTACAGCAACAAACCCAGATTCATATATAACAGATCCTGCTGTGCTATGCAATAGAGTGTCTATGCTATATTGAGGGGACGACAACCATTTTTTATGATCAAACTGAAAAATTGACTATGAGTCAACATGTGGACAGTACGATTCGCTGATCGTTTAGACTGAAAACTTTTTGTGTATTCTTGATGAGTTGATGATGGATAACAGTACACTTAGCTTCTTCCATTTGCTCTCTCTTCACCCACTCTCATCTGTTATATAAAAATGGTTAGTAAACTGCTGCAACCAACAAAAACAAAAAAATTCATAAAGAATTTTCAAAATCCCATAAGGATTTATACAGAAATAGCCCAAAGTGCTATCTGCTGCAACCAAAAAGTGCATCACTCATTCACTTGGATGCCATAATTGACAGCAACATTGCAACTTCAAATTTATATTGTCTTTATAATTTCAATCAAAACTACCAATAATGCTCTATATATATTATGAAATTAGGATACTTTAATTAAACAACTTAAAATAATTAAGCACATTCAATTAAGTGAATAACTTTTTGTTATTGGAAGTTGCCATTTAATCTGCTTTCAAAAATCTAATCTCAAAATACTTCCATATACATACTCCTTAAAATAGCAAGACCAAACAGCTTTCGGAAGATCTAAGCTCTTTCTGCAAACACAGTCAAAAACTAAAATAATAAAAAACAGAAACAATTGCAGTTTTCTAATATATATAATACTATGATTTGCAACAGAGTATTCGATCTGCCTAATACCTGCCTAATCCTGAGAAATATCACTCACTTCACCCTCATCCCATTCTTCCTCTGAGCTGTTTACACTACCTTTCGTCTGCAATCGATAAATTTAAAGTAAAAAAAAAAAAAAAAAAAAAAAAAAGGTGAACACACAGCAGTTAGATAGGTAAGGAAATATGAGATAGAAGAAGTGAGAGGAAACAGATCAGATCAGATATGATAGATGGCCATGAAGTAATTAAATGCATATTAAATGGTCACACATATAATATATTAGAGCTGAGGGATAGAAAGAGACCCTAATATTTTCCGAACGAACAAGGAGGGCATTTCCATAGTTGTTGTATTGCTCTTCTTGAATCAACTTTGCAGAAGCCAGAACGGAATCCCAACACCTGTTTAACTGAATCAGTACTAGTGTGGTGATATCCGCAAAACCACTAGGGATCTCTTGCAAATTATGGCATTTATGTAACTCTAAACATTCAAGCACAGGGAAATGGTCACCCACGACACTCCAATGTTTCAAACGTGTATATTCAATTACCAATCTTTTCAATTTACGGAATCCTTCCTTGGATGGTTCCCACATTGTGTCTTGGCTATGAATAGCACGTTTCAGTTTTAGAACCTCTAGATTTGGCAACATACCAATAAGCCTCATATCACTCCATTCCAAACTAGTCAAGAAGAATTTGAGCTTCTTAAGATTTGGTAGAAAACTAGTTGCCCATGAGATACCGCTACATGGAATACCATTGACATTATACCACCCTATGATGCTTAGCTCCTCAAGCTGCCCCAAGTGCACAAAATTATAAAACCAATCTAGATTGTTTTCATTGTTTCCATCAACAATTTCCAATTTTTTTAAATTCGGAATCCTTGTCAACAAATCCTTTGTACAGATCAGATCTCAACATTGATATACTCTCTAAGTTTCTATGAACAACTGACGAAGTTCCAAATGAATAAATCTGTTCAACGCAAAAAGTCCTTAATAGTGGCATGTTCCAAATTCCATATGTGTTAAAGGAATTCGATCCTCCACGAACAATAATGCTTTGCAAATTCGAATGCTCAAAGAGCTCAAAGAGCTGAGACCGAAAATATTCTCTAGTAGACATATTTGTTGAAAACCTCAAAGCTAAGTATCTTAAATGAATAAGATTTGCAAGCGCATATAGTACCCCATATCCTTGGGAAGATATACGGTCTATGTCTACTACTCTTAGTAGTTTGAAGTGTGGAAATAGATGTTCCTCAGGGAAATAAGAGTAATCATCAGCACCAGGATAGTGTAAGGAATGTGGTTTGTGAAAGCAATTTGTCAAAGGAAGTTTTTCAAAGAAGGATGCTACTCTTATCCAACGACAAGAGCTTTTCATTATGTAAAATGGAAGTTTTTCATCTCTAATGACATTCGAGACAATGACATTCAAGAGATTCTCATGTAGAGCTTCTCTCAAACACAAATCCCGCAACATGTCATGTATTCTTATTGCCTTCATTTTCCCATTGTAGCTCTGTTTGCTAACAAAAATAAGACTTCTATCAACAAGATCTTGCAAGCATTCCATGGCCACTTCCTCCATATTTCGATGCTCCTCTGCCCTCAAAAATCCCTCTGCCGCCCACAACCTAACCAACTTCTTCACATGAATCTCATAGTCTTCCGGGAAAACTCCAAAATATAGAAAATAAGCTTTTAATTGGTGTGGTAATTGGTTGTAACTCAAATATAGTATTTTGGAACATGCATCATTAGAATCACCAATTACATATCTACTCACATTTTCTGCAACATAATCCCAGTTTTCCACTGTCGCCTTTGTCTTTGAGAGAAGACTAGCTACTAAAGTAATAGCTAGAGGTAATCCATTACATTTCTTCACTATGTATCTACCAATTTGCTCAAACTCTAAAAGAAATTCCGTTTGACCGAACACATTGCAGAAGAGATTCCAACTTTCATTAGCATTTAAGAAAGGCATGTTAATAGTAGAGTTACCTGAACTTGCATATTCAGCCACCTCTCTGAGCCGAGAAGTTAATAGTATACGGCTTCCATTATTATCATCTGGAAAGCATCTTTGCACACTATCCCAAGCAGTAGAGCTCCATACATCATCCATCACTATCAAATATCTTTGCTCCTTCAAGTGTTTACGCAGACTTTCTGCTAAGTTGTCATTTCTTTGTTCATGGAGTACATTATTTGATGCTGCCTTAACACTATCAATAAGGCATTGGAGCATTTGTTCTACGTTATACTCTTGAGATACAGTAACCCATGCTCGTTTGTCAAAATGAGATGTAATTGATGAATCTTCATAGAGTTTCCGAGCTAAAGTGGTCTTGCCAATTCATCCCATGCCTACAATTGATGAAACTTGTAGCTGCTGTGCTGATTGTCGGGTGAGCTGATCCATTATCGTCTTGAACACCTCGTCGCATCCGACCATTCTACTGCCAAACTTTATTGAAGCACTTTTGGAAAATTTACTCAAAGTAATATTCTCGCGTTCTGGATGAGGCTGCGATGATGTTGAACCAAGGAGTAGTCCTCTTTGTCGCATCCGACCAAGGAGTGGAACGCAAGTGATTGATGAACCCTTTGCGAACTGTTGTTTACTTTTAATCTTAATCAACTTCTTCTTCAGGTAATTAGTCTGTTTTACTGCTTGCTTGAAGATTCCATGAAGCCTGAGGAGGCAAGCCTCCTCCTCTATACTGCTTGACTGAAGGTTTATGTTACACAACTCCATCTCAATCCTTTCTTCGGCTTCAAACGCTACATCTCTCATCTCTGCCTCTAAACGTTTCATCGCTGAATTATCTTCGCCCATCTCAGATTTCTCAAGAATTTCTTGGAGGAAACCAAGATTTTCATGGAGAGAATTAACTGTCTCTTGTTTGTCTTGAAGAGGCAAGCGTGGTTGTGATTGCAAGAAGTGTAGATGGAGTGTTCCTTTAAGCGAAGTTACAGCAGCATAAGCCATTATTTTCGCCTGTCTATGAGGTAAGATGATCAGAGCAGTACTAAGAAGAAATGAAAGATATATGTGATACAATTTAGACAGGAATTCTCGTCAACGCTAAAGTCTAAACAAACATAATTTTAAAATTTATGTGGCTTTCTACAACTTGTAACACTAATTACGAGTAATATGAAATTAGATATGAGAGACAGATAATGACAACCTGAGACGAAATTGTTTAATATTAAGTGAGAATTTGACAGCTCAAATATATATATATATATATATATATATATATATATATATATATATATATATTTGGAATACTCATTATTCTTTACAAGTTACTATCTATTTTATAATTTTTCAAATATTTTTAGGGGGTGTATTCAATCATGACTTTCATAGAGTTTTAAAGACTTTTATGAACTTTAAAAGTTTGGGGGTATTCAATTCAAACTTTTAGACAGTCTTTAAAAGTCAGATGGTATTCAATCAAGATTTTTAAAAAGTCTTTAAAAGTCGTGTGGTATTCGATTAAAACTTTTAGAGAGTCTTTAAAAGTCACGTGGTATTCAAAAAGTTATGAACTTTTGTAGACTTTTTAATTTTAAGACTTTTGTAGACTTTTTCTTCTCAAATATATATAGTTGAAATCCAACCATCAACCCCGAGATTTCGAAATTTTCTTTCTAACAACTTTGAATGTTTTCTCTCTCTTTCTAAACTCTATTTTTTCTCCCAATTTAAACTTTATAAACCTATCTAAATTTAATAAAATTATTTTTTTCTTCATTATCCTATATTTTCCTCATACCTAAACTCTACCAATTTTTCTCTCTCTCCTAAACTTTACAATCTTCCTCTAAAAATTCGAAATAATATTATTTTTACTTCATTATTGCTGGTTTATACTGATTTGTATTTTTTCTATGAATTTTTTATCCCTAACTTTCTCTAATTCTCCCTAAATACATGAACAAAGCAAATTTTTCTCATAAAATTTTAGTATATGTTTCATAATATTCATATAAATACTTATATTTTTTGATTTATATTCTTTTTATGTTTATATTCGTAATATATATTTTTCCTTTTTTTTTAACAACAAATTATTACGAATAGCGAACTTTTGTTCGCAACAACAATTTGGGGTTGCAAACAGTAACACCTTGTTGTTGTTCGCAGTCTCAAATTGCTATTGCAAATAATAGTTCTTTGCGTAGTAATATATCAAGTATAATTATATATATATATATATATATATATATATATATATATATATATATATATATATATATATTAAGTATTAGATTTTTATTTTTTTGTATTTTATGTAACTTGTAATTATATTTTTAAATATTTTATTTGTTCAATTCTTTTATTATAAATTTTATTATTCAATATTGTTATGAATTTCTAATGAAATAATTTTTTTTTTGATGTTTATTAATAATATATATATAAGTAATTAGCATATAAGCATCAACATACTATGGATAAAAATAATAATGTTGAGAATGTTGATGTAGGTGAAGAACTACATAATGAGAAAATTTTATGATATATTATAAATGTTTTTTAAGACAATTATATAAATGATAAGAATCAAAATCATTGAAAGTTTGTAAGGATGTATTCAATTTAGAATTTCAATGACTTTTGTAGACTTTTTAAAATAAAAAAGTTGATAAAAGTCTATGAATGTTCTTTATATAGACTTTTATAGAGTCTTATAAAGTTTTAAAAAATTTTGAACGACTCTATGAAAGTCAATCAACGTTTATTAAAATATATCATTTTAAAAGTCTTTAAAACTCTACAAAAGTCATGATTGAATACACCCCTCTAAGTTAAGTCTCTGCAACCTGAGTTCAAACCTATGACCACCACTACTGGAAATTATGAAATTTCCGACCACCTGAAAGTGATCTTAAATCAAGTCGAAAGCCTTGTTCCGATCACTTTTGGTATTCGGAAAAAAACCTTTGTTGCTATTTCCGACCACTTTTTGGTTTCAACTTGATTTAAGATCACTTTCAGGTGGTCGGAAATTCCATAATTTCCAATAGTGCACACATTTGGAATGATAACTGGGATGTCATCACACTATATGAT